CATCTAGTTGCCCTTTGAGGTTTTTTACTTCAACAGATTTGTATCACAGAGGATATTTCAAATAAGCTCTTTATAATTGAATTCCACATTTATAGGTCAATATAAACAATTGTGGTAAAAGTCTAAAACAGGGAGATAATCAGGGGAAGAAGACATATGCCAGTTTTTGCTCTTCCCTCCCCTCCCTCATCTGTCTCTTGCCCCCCTCTCCCATTCCAAAAGCTCTAGCGGAAACCATTTCAGCAGTCTGTCCTTCACCTCTGCTTATCTGCTACCTCAGAGCAGTTTTTCAAGAGTGATGCACTTGTTTTCTTATCAGCAGTCTCATCGAGAACCTGAAACACTGTATCCTTCCTACCTTAAGTATCTAAGAGCCAACGCCTTAAAATAAAGTGGGCACCTAAAGAATGCTTGTTAAATTGTGGAGGGAGAATGGTGGGGTGTAAGGTTTGGCTCATTCTTTGGGTCAGTCATAAAGGATCCCCACTCTCTTTAGACCCTGAAAAAACTAATGGTTTCTTGCCTCATTGCATCTGCCCATCCCCAGAGGAAGAGATGAGTTTGTTAACCTTCCTTTGGCATAAACTTTTACCCATATTATAGTATCTGAACTACTTTGAGTCTGGTCCAGCCTCCTGCCCGGGCAGTAGTGGTCTGTATATTCTCCTGATGGATGTGTGTCATATGGTACTGTAATAGTTCTCTATCTCCTTGTCCCAGACTGTGAGCTCCTCAAGTGTAGAGACTTTATCTGAGTCATCTCTATTCCCTGAAGAAATGTCATTTTGTTTTCTACAGTGGTAATCTTTGAAAGGATAGTATACGTTGATCACACGGCTTAGTATATAGTAGACTTGCAGAAAAGGACTTGCTGGTTGATTTTTGAGCTGAGTAAATTGGATTCAGTACATTGGAGCAGATCTCTGCTTTTTCCCTCACTGCCACTGCTGTTGCTCTTTTCATACTTCTTGATTTGGGTAGTTTCTTTTTTTGGTTTCTGTACTCTCCCACCACCTGTTGCTTCCCTATTGCTTGATCTACTTCTGCACTCTACTACTCCCTTTACTTGGCGTTTTTTCCACAGAATTCACCATCCCCCACAACTTCCCTTAAAACAAAGCCAAGCCATGTAAGGCTTCTATAGCCCCTGCCAGCCCTACAGAAGCAGCTCTCCCATGCAAGAAGCATAGGCAGCAAGCAGAGGCTATGACTGGTAGAATAAGGCAGATTTTCCCGACACCAAGGATCCGAAGACCTGGAGTCCTGGTCCTACTTGACTCCTAATTTCTTGGGTGACCTTGAGCAGTTTACTTACTACAAATGCTTACTCTAATAAAATATATAAGTATATACATGTGCATATTATCTAAACTTTGTCTATTTTTTAAAAATAGACTTTTTTCTTTCATATAAATGATCTATTATTAAAACACATTTAAATAATCTAGGGACTATATCTACTTAAAGACATACTACTTGTGTTTAAGAGCCATGACCATTTGAAAACAGGAAAACCAAATTGTAGTAAAATTTCTATATATTGGGACCCACTAATTCTCTGTGTGAGATAATTAGGAATAGAGGTTTGCTGTTTAGCTTTGCAATATTTATGGAGGGAAAAGGTTATTTACCAAAAAAATTACTATTGCTAATGAGATTATACAATAAAAGTTTTAACTCATTTTAGAGACTAAATTTAATTCTTAAAATTTGTCTTTTCTCTACATATGTAGTTTGGTTACCTATTACTTATCCATTAATTGGTCCCATGAAAACATTCGCAGTCCTATTTGTTGTTAATCTTATTTGTTCAGTCCTTGTTAATGCTCTTAAAGCTAGATAATAAAGCTGCATTTCTTTTAAAACATATTCAGTTTCGCCGTTCTGACTTTTTAGAAGTCTCTTCCTCTAACACTCACCCATATAGTCCAAGTTAGTAATATTTTTATTAGAAAGATAGTTGCTGTAACTGAAAGTTTAGTAGACTGAGTTAAAAGTAGCTTTTCCAGTAGGATTTAAAATGACTTCAGGTGTACATCATAAGCAGTGTTTTTAAGGTTTGTAGTTATTTCAGTCCGTTGTCAACCATTAGTACTTCTTCTCCCCACTTTAGTCTGCTATGTCAAAAAATTGCATCAAGCTTTTGTGTGAAGATCCCGTCTTTGCAGAATATATAAAATGTATCCTAATGGATGAAAGAACTTTTCTCAACAACAACATTGTCTACACATTCATGACACATTTTCTTCTAAAGGTATGTCATACTTTGGGAACTCGATGTGTTCTTTCTGATTAGTTAATAGTGGTTGTGTTTTCATTACGTTGGTCTTTTGGAGATTTTTTTTTTTAAATCTTCTTTTTCAGGTTCAAGGTCAAGTGTTTTCTGAAGCAAACTGTGCCAATTTGATTAGCACCCTTATTACAAACTTGATAAATCAGTATCAGAACCTGCAATCTGATTTCACCAACCGAGTTGAAATTTCCAAAGCAAGTGCTTCTTTAAATGGGGTAAGAACTGTGAAAGCGAATAGTCATGTACTTCAGAACTTCACTTAAATCAACTCTAAATTTGGCCATAGTATCATTTTACTATCATAACTTTAACTTATTATTTAATATAAATTTGGCCATAGTATCATTTTACTATCATAACTTTAACTTATTATTTAAACTCTAGGAGTCACATGTGAAAGAACTAATCAGTTTTTTTCAGTGTGTTCACTATGCCTTTTATGTATGTAGCACACACTTTGTTACCTGAGGAGACAAGAGCTAATGTCATTAAATGCTAAGGGCAATAAGACCACTAGGAGGAGATATTCGCTTTCTCTCTACTTGCTTACATTTTTTGAAATATTATGATGTTTCTCTTATTGCCTATGGCTCATAAGTAACTGAAACAATCAGATTAATGATCTACTGATTATAAAGCTAGTTAAAACTAGGGAATTAGTTAGTTGCCTTGTATAGACTCCCATGATAGCCATGTTATAGAGTAATAGAACAACCTGGGAAACCTAGCACATGTCCAGCAGCAGGCCTCAAACGCTGTAACAAAATGCTTAGATGCCAGAACAGGTTACAGAGCTAAGTGAGGAGGACCTTACAATTTGTGACATCCACCAGAGATCAGCATATTTGAGAAACTGAGATTTCTAGATTAATAAGGCCTAAATTTCTCATGGATCATTCAGGGGTTTTTTAAATTCCTATGTAAGTTTATTATTATTTTTTCCTTTTCCATTTTCAGAAAATACTGAGTCTTTAGTCTGACTTAATTAGTGGTGTGATGCATGAAATACTGGTATGAGTGACTCAGAACCAATATAGTAGTGTTATAATGCTGGCATTCTAGTTTTAGCATTCTTCTAAAAATGCTAGAGTAAACCAGGATGGATTCCTGGAAGAGTAAACATGTGCATTAAACTGTAAACAACTGTATCAAAATGTTGGCTTTAGATTTTGAAATGTTCCTATCTGGGTTTCTGTAGGACCTGCGGGCACTTGCTTTGCTCCTATCGGTACACACTCCCAAACAATTAAACCCAGCTCTAATTCCAACTCTGCAAGAGCTTTTAAGCAAATGCAGGACTTGTCTACAGCAGAGAAACTCACTCCAAGAGCAAGAAGCCAAAGACAGAAAAACTAAAGGTTAGCTTTATGGACTAATATTACTTTGAGGGTGGGAGAAGGGAAGAATACAGTTGGTGTAACTGACTTTACAATAGCTGTATGTTCATTAGGGCTCCTAAATATAAATGGTAAAAACGAAATTTCCCACAAACACCCCAGTGTAATGTGATTGTAATGACTCCTTTCAGAAAATTTGTTTTGATACTCATTTTCACAGATGATGAAGGGGCGACTCCTGTTAAAAGAAGGCGTGTAAGCAGTGATGAGGAGCACACTGTAGACAGCTGCATCAGTGACCTGAAAACAGAAACCAGGGAGGTCCTGACCCCAACTAGCACTTCAGACAATGAGACAAGAGACTCCTCAATTATTGATCCAGGAACTGAGCAAGATCTTCCTTCCCCTGAAAATAGTTCTGTTAAAGAATACCGAATGGAAGTTCCATCTTCGTTTTCAGAAGACATCAGATCACAGCACACAGAAGAACAGTCCAACAATGGTAGATTTGAAGATTGTAAAGAATTTAAAGACCTCCACTGTTCCAAGGATTCTAACCTAGCTGAGGAAGAATCCGAGTTCCCTTCTACTTCTATCTCCGCAGTTCTGTCTGACTTAGCTGACCTGAGAAGCTGTGATGGTCCAGCTTTGCCCTCCCAGGACCCTGAGGCTGCTTTATCACTCAGTTGTGGCCATTCCAGAGGACTCTTTAGTCACATGCAGCAACATGACATTTTAGATACCCTCTGTAGGACCATTGAATCTACGATCCATGTGGTCACAAGGATATCTGGCAAAGGAAACCAAGCTGCTTCTTGACATTAGATGTAGCATGTCTACTTTTAAGGTCCCCCCTCCCCACAATGCTGTTTGTATAAGTTTTGCTTATTTCTGTTTTTGTGCTTCAGTTTGTCCAGTGCTCTCTGCTTGAATGGCAAGATAGATTTATAGGCTTAATTCTTGGTCAGGCAGAACTCCAGATGAAAAAATTTGCATCTTCAGTATACTTTCTAAAGGGCAATCAGATAATGGATATGTTTTATGTAATTAAGAGTTCACTGTAGTGGCTTTCATTTAATATGGCTGTCTGGGAGGAACAGGGTTCCCTGGCCCTGTACAATGTAATTTAAACTTATAGCATTTTTACTGTGTATAATATGGTGTCCTCTGTGCCAGTTTTGTACCTTATAATAGAGGCAGATTGCCTCCGATCGCTGTGGTTCTTATTATCAAAATTAAGTTTACTTGTATACGGAACAACCACAAGAAATTTGATTCTGTAAAGAATCCTCTTTAGCTGTGGCCTGGCAGTATATATAAATGGTGCTTTATTTAACAGAATACCTGTGGAGGAAATAAAGCACACTTGATGTAAAAATAATTGTTTTATTTTTATTGACATGACTGATTGCTATTCTGTGCACTTAATTAAACTGATTGTGATGACTTTTCATTTGTTTACATAGTTGCTTCACTCTTCTCAGATGAAAGTAATGAGAAAACTGAATGGGGGGAAGCACTTACCCATCATATCTGTTTATTCGAAGTATTTATTTAGTGGCAGTCCAAAAAGTAACATCCCCATAGACTTTTCAGTTCTCTTCAGTCCTCTCCACCCGAAGTGGATAACTGTTGCAGGGAGAAGTGGATAACTGTTGCAGGGAGAAGTGTAACAATATAGCCAACTCGCCCTCACTTCAACAGGCTTCTGAATGCAACATGCCACTGTTTCACTGTCTAAGGGCTAGGCACCTTAAAAGCCCTGTGGTAAAATAAAAGAATAGTATCAACATGCCATTTATTTTGTCTTCCTGAACTAAAACTACAGCTGAAAGTAAGCTTGCTAGGACAAGTTTTAGCCTGGGAAACTTCAACTATCTGTACTCAGGGACTCAAACCTGTTCCCAGAGGAGCATCTATGGGAGGTAACTGGTTATTTGCTGCTTTTAACTCAATGCAGTCTAGTCATAGTAAAGATTCAAACAATACTTTAAATTCTGTATAAGTTCATGGATTTCATCCAATATAAATTAAGAGTTTCTGTTTTCTTTTTTAAAAGGAATAACAGGGAAGAGGTAAACTTGACACTTTTTCTGCTTACAAACAAACAGTAATGCCCTTATAAAATCTTCTAATTCAACCATTTAGGGTGGTCAGCTGCAGTAAACCTTTTATTTCTTCAAAGTGCTGCTTCTGCCAACAGAATTTCATATTCTCTTCTTTACAGACAGGAACTCCTTTACAGTCCAATTGTAATTCTGTTTGCCCCAGAGTAGGCACAAAATTCAGTGCAACTGTTGCATAGTGTTCTGGAAAAAAAAAATAGGAAGCTTATTACTGCATTATGAAAAGGAATGTTTATCCTTACAGTACTACTTCTTGCTTTTCACAGTGGGGGAAAAAAACAGCTTGAGTGTTTTTGGACTCTTAGAACTAACAAAGGATACTAAGAACATACCTTCTGGCCAGTTCCGACATCTCCATTTCATGACGATCTTTTTATTTGTTAACTGAAACAAAGGTGAAATTCCACTGAAAACATCTTTTTAAACTTTCTACAGTGCTACAACACAGAAAAACACCAAATCCTTTCATTAAAACCCCTACATACTAAAAGTAATCAATGAACAACATACAGTCCCATTTTCCAGTTTATATGCCAGCACCATTGAGAATTCATTGTCCCTAATGCCAAAATGTCTGTAACAGCAGTAATATCAGGGACAAAAGTGTAGTAACATTAGTAACCAGAACTGAGCTGATGTCAAGGATAAGGCAACTGACATTTGGCAATGCAGACCCTAGTGTTTTAGGAGGCAGAAACGTTTCCTGAAACTTCTAGATCAAGAGTTGGGAGGAATTAACACTTGTTTCTTCTAAAACTGTAAGCATTTGCACAATTACTGTGAAAACTAAGGCTTCATCTTTTATCATTACTTGTTACCAACTTTTTTATAAAGTTCTCAAGTTTCTGTGAGCTCAGATTAAAAACTCAAAGCAAGTTATAAACAGCATGGATAAAAAACCAATAATAATGGAAAGAAAAGTCAGTCCCAGCTTAACTTTTCTTTAACTATAAGATTACGTACCAATTCTATATATTCACCGGTGATGTTCCCATGAAACATTTGGAATTTCCCTCCCTTTTCAGCTTCTAATACAGCAGGAGATTTAGAAAATTTTTGCACCAGCTAACCAAGCAAAACATACAGTAGACATGTTATTCCAGCATGTGCTATCACCTTTTTAACCTAAATGTAAAGTATTAATACAACAAATACTGTGCTTTGGGGTTGTTGCTTTTTTTGTGTGTGTGAGAAAGACCAGCCCTGAGCTAACATCCGTTGCTAATCCTCTTTTTGCTGAGAAAGACTGGCCCTGGGCTAACATCCATGCCCGTCTTCCTCTACTTTATATGTGGGACGCCACCACAGCATGGCTTGACAAGTAGCGTGTCGGTCCACAGCCAGGATCCGAACCTGCGAACCCCAGGCCACCGAAGTGGAGCACCCAAACTTAACCACTGCGCCATCGGGCTGGCCCCTGGGGTTGTTTTTTTTTTTTTTTTTTAATCCTGAATACGTAGCTTTTACTTACAGTTTTCTCTACTCTTTCCCTCTCTTTCACAGGGAGAAAACTCAGTAAATTAGTGTATCCCCCTAAATCCTGATATATTCCCCCCAAATGCCCATCTTTTCTCCCCCTCAAATTTTTCAGAAGCTATCCTAAAGACTTCTCTCACCACCATTCTAGATTCCTTCAATCAGAAAAACAGGGCCATAGAGGAAACGAGAAACCAGCTCCAGTTCTGAGTGGCACATTTTCTCCCCATGTCAGCAATTAAGATCCTAGCCTGAGAAGTAACTTACATCTTTCACAGTGAAGATGCTGTACAGCTGCTCTACAGCTGTGTCAAACAGTTCCGTCATGTGCAATGCCACAGTGGGAATCCTCACACCCAATGCCACTGGAGATGAGGCCTGAATCTTAAGAAGAGGTTCCAAAGGATAATTAGCATGCCAGTAATAAAAACACCAAAACACTTGATAAAACACCAAATGCCCCAAATTCCACACTACTACTTCAGGCACATGGAAATAGCATGAAAAGCCGTTATAGCACCACCAGTCCTGGTCTTTACTTTGAAAACAGCAGTTCTTCCTATGAGCTCTTTAGCTCTGTTCCACTCCCCAGGCTATGGCTTAACACTCAAATCCTACTTAGACATGTAAACATGGCCCAGAAGGCATAAACATAAGCAGATGAAGGACAACAGCACTTCTTAAGGCCAAAGGGTGTCAATTTCCCACCACCAGATTCCAAGAACAGGATCTAAAACCTCTCAATCCAAAAGTCTGGAGAGAAGGTTCTTCCATTCTGGTATGTGAACCTCAAAGTCACCTGGTTTTGTAATCTGTTGCCTACCAAAGGACATTGCCTTTAGAACACTGTTTTGAACTAAATTCAATAGTTAGCCCACAAAAAGGCCTGTTTATACATTCCCTTCCATCAAGGATGCAAGTCTAATTTCATCATTTCAAAAAAAAGGCAGGGGATGCAAGGATGGATTAACTAGCCCTCCTTGCTATCCTTTACAGTTCTCCATCATCGAAAGGCTGTTGAGAGCTTTGAAGCATTCTCATTAAGCACTTCCTTTTCCCCCTCCCTACATGTTGGCCACCAGAGGTCATACCTGCAAGGTATTCTCACTCAATTTCCTTTTGACAGTCCTTTCCGGGGTTGCCATACCTTTCGTTGGTAAAATCATTCCCATTGTAAATTCTACAAAGAAACATATGGGAAATGGTTTTAATAGAGAACTTTTTCCTTTTCAGCACAAACAGTAAGGCAGAAACCCAAAACAGCACATAAGAAAATAAAAGAACTGATATTTTCAAAAAGAATTCCTATCATTTTGAGAATTTCAAGGCCATTCCGTGTTCTTACATATAAAACTAACAACATGAGTTCCACCGCAACAAATGCCTTTTATTTTTTTCCAAATGCTTCACTTTTATCTAGTCATTGATAAAATAGCAAAATTTTCAAGTGTTCTTTTCCAAAAAGCTGAGTTTTATATAACTAACTACTAGTAGCTTTATGGCCTTCACCTACCATTAAAACCAGGCACTTTCTCATTGCTTCACCACCACCCTCACAAAGCTTGGTCTCACAGTATTCAAGCCTGTGGGCCAGCCACATGTGTGGTCTCGTGGGAAAAATGACAACCCTAAACCCATCTATGCCAACAGCTAGATACTCAGGTAGCAGAGTCCAGGGATGTGGTGCAGACATACAGGCCCTGCTGGCCATTCTGCCTGGCAGGTAACTTCTCTAATTTAAGGAAGACAATAACCTCACCTCCATGCAGTATAGGGATTATCTAGATAAATCTCAACTACACCTGTAATACCTGCAGTCACTTTTACTCATTCATTCATTCAACAAAGATTTATTAAGCACCTACTATGTGCTGGAGAGAAAGCAGTAAACAAGACAGACACCTTCCATGCCCTCATGAAGCTTATATACTAGCAGGGAAGACAGACATTAAACAAGTAATTATACAAAGAACTGATTAAATAATTATCATTCCAGAAAACTACTATTAACAACCCTGTAGGCAAAATGGTTCATGCTATGTACAATACTGATAATCACTTAATATGGTCTTATTCATAACTAGCCCTCAACCTTCAGGCTACAATTTATCCTGCAGCATAAAGAGTTGTTTCTGGAGCCTTAGACATCAGCCTAACCTGGGAATCTAGACCACAGTTCATAGCTTGGGTAAACAGAAAAGGGACCCTCTGGTTCACAAGGGATGCCTTCTTTACCAGTCTTAAGTGCCTTCAGGTAATCTCCAAGGGCCTCCCTGACCTTGGCGGTGCCTGCAGTTTTCATAAGATCCTTCAGTATATCCCCATCTCCTTTCTTTTTACTCACGTTCACCTACAAATCAGAAAAATACAAACCTAAGAAAAATCTGGTTTGATGTATTCCCACAACATTGGGACATAAGGATGAGAGAAGAACTGTGATGGTGCGGGAAGGAGAAGTGGATGTGAGAGAGATGTAACAGGTTTCTCCACATAGTTTGAGAAGATGTAAGGGTTTTTTAATCAAGGGTCCATTGACTGGGTTGGTGGCCAAATCTTGAATGGACTTCTTAGAATGTGAATCTCTTAATTTGATAGAAAATTTTATGTGTATATGTATCATATGTGTATTATATTGATGATGAAGTCTATGGCTTTTTATCAGGGTCTAGAAATGCGCTGTCCAGAATGGTAGCCATTAGCTACATGTGGCTATTGAGCATCTGAAATGTGGCTGGTCTGATTTGAGATGTGCTATGTGTAAAATAATATACACCAGACTTTGAAGACTTAGTACAAAAAAAGAATGTAAAATAATCTCAATAATTTTGATATTAATTACATGTTAAAGTGATATTTTTTATATTTTGGGTTAAATAAAAAATATTAAAGGTAATTTCACCTGTTTCTTTTAACTTTTTTAATATGGCTACTAGAAAATTTTAAATTCCATAAGTGGCTTGCATTATATTTCTATTGAACAGCGCTGGTCTAGAACCCAAAAGCCAGTGTAATTAGGAAAATCAAGTTCCCACATAGTATGGCCTTAAGCTACACTTTTTTGGCAGGGAGGAGAACTGGGAAGGGGGAGGGAGGAAAGGAGGGAGGAAAAGGGTAGGAGGAGAGAGGAGGGAGAAGTGGGGAGACGGAGAGGGAACCATCAAAATGCTGCTCTGGGGATGCCTCTGTGGTCTTCTCAGAATGAAAAGATGTATTGGTTTGAAATCATTTAGCGTCCCTATGATTCAGTAGAGCTGAGCCTGATCCCAAGTCCCAGTTCCAATCTAAAGAGTTTGTTCCATAACGCTACCAAGGGTTGAATCTAAAAAACCAGTTTAACATGCTGATGAAAAACTTCTCAGCTGATGGATCTGAATACAGCAAAGTGAAATCACAGCCCCTGAGTATAGCAAACACATGTCTCAAGAGGTGTCTGAGACAGCCCCACTTTTATGGTATTTTATAACCTTTAATAAAGGCGAGTCATAGACACATTGCTCCTTATGACTTAGTTTTTATATATTTGAAAGACTTCACATTGAATACATGCACAAATCAAAATATCTTCCTTTGGAAAATACAGCTGCTGTACAAATGGTCTCTCCCGAGAACAAGCTTTCAGCTTAAAGAGGGCACTAACCGAAAACCAAGCTTGGGAGTTACACAAGGCTCTATCTCCCAAGAGAACTAGGGGAGCTGGTCAAAAGGCAACAATACTAACTAGTTTACGAAAAACCATGAGACATAACCAAGGGAGATCACAGCTAAAAGACGAGAGTTTCCACTATTAAAGGGAAACAGCAAAGATACAAGGGAGGAGAAACAAATTCCCATTCACCATGCTGTGCGTGCTGCCTGAGCACTTTACAGTACATACACTCTTGTTTATCTGATAACAGCCCTGAAAGATGAATTAACGCCGTTTCACAGATAAGGAGGCCTTGGAGGGTGCAGTCACCTACCCAGGCCCCACACCTGGTCTGTGGGGCAGTCTAGGGCTTCCTGGGCTTACTCTTCTTCCTATACCACTCCACGCCACACCCCATGCTGCCCCCACAGCACAGCAATCCTTCTTGGCAAACAAGCCCTCAACAATTAACCAAAGCTACTGCACAGGAATCACACAGTCTGAGAAAGTTTTTCAAATACCAACATCCATAACAGAAGCTTGATTTAAAAAAAAAGAAAAGAAAGAAAGAAACTCCATCAGATACCTCACCTCGGTGTCATCTACTTCATTTTCTTCAGAAAGGTTGGGTATTTCAATCAACCCCTTGTGCTTTGCACCAGATTCTTTAATTATACCTAAAATGAGCAAAATGTGTTCTTCAATGACAAAGTCACAACTGGTTTATGCAAAACTGCTCTGCCTAACTGAACAGCCCACCCTCCTCACAGGATGCCACCACAGCTGGCAACAAGGCAAGCTCAAGGCTTTACCACCACACAGGTGCCAAAATTGGCCCTGTTCTCCTGGCCCACATCAGAAGTAAGTAACCCAGAAAGGTGGGGACAGAACCTTGCCAATGCCAGGTGGAAGCATGGGACTGGAGTAAGTGGGTCTGTAACCAATGTTTCTTTTTTCATCCCCCAATATTCTTTACCAGGTCAAAGCAGGATAAAGGGTTATCTTGAAGAGGAATCACAAAAGGGACGGGAGGACAGAAAGGAACAATGAGTTCTGATCATGGAAAGAGTGAGGGGAGGGAGGTTGTGGCTTGGGGAAGTTCTGTGTGGACTCCATGCAGCTGGATTTCTTTCAAGACCAGAATGTTGATTTCAGTGACAACATCAAGATGGTGACATAGGTTTATTCCTGACTTCAGTCCCCCTCAGAAGACCAACTAGCAGCTAGCCATAGACAAGACACCACTGTGCAAATCCCAGAACCCAGAGGTGAGGCTGATGCACCCTCCTGGACAGAGACAGAGAAGGACTGCATCAGAAGGGTATGAGGAGTGCTAACACTATGACCACACCGCCCCTCCCCCGGGCCAGCCCTGTGCCACACTGAGAGAGCCCCCCTGTGGTTTCTCCAGTGGGAAAAGAGAACACAAGGTGGACATCCAGGTCCTCCAGCATTGTGGGATGCTTCCTGAGAGGGCAACTTGGGTCTCACCTCACAGGGACCACTGGGAATCAGAGACAGAGAAGAGGGGCAGGGCTTTCAGCAACCAGTGCTCAAATCTTGGTGGATGACATTCCTCCCTGCAGCAGTACGTGAGCAGAGATCCTAGTCAGTGACTCTGCCTATCTGCAGAGCCAAGCTGGTAGCCCTATCTGGCCAGGGAGATCAGTTGGCAATTCTGCCCAATTTGTGTCCCCAGCCAACTGGCTGAAGCCAGCTGTGAAGCTCATTCTACCACCCCACCTAGTGAAGGAAGCAAACTCACAGCCCCGCTCAACTGCTGAGCATAGCCTCCAGTCTTGACCATCCAGGAAGCCTGACCAGAGAACCTAGACAGCCACAGAGCCCATCCTACAACCCCACTTGTGCAGGGAGCCAAACCACCAGCCCTGCCAAACTGTTGAGCATAGCCTCTGGCCCTGCATAACCACGGAGCCTGAACGGTGACCCTAATCAGCCTCAGAGCCCAGCCTACAGCCCTCTTCTATTGTTTTTTGTTTTTGTTTTTGTTTTTGTTTTGTGAGGAGATCAGCCCTGTGCTAACATCTGCCAATCCTCCTCTTTTTTTTGCTCAGGAAGACTGGCCCTGGGCTAACATCCATGCCCATCTTCCTCCACTTTATATGGGACGCCACCACAGCATGGCTTGCCAAGCAGTGCGTCGGTGTGCCCCCGGGATCCGAACCAGCGAACCTCGGGCCGCCGCAGCGGAGCACGAGCACTTAACCGCTTGCGCCACTGGGCAGGCCCAGCCCTCCTCTATTGTTAAACACAGCTTGTGACCTCATCTAGAAAGTGAGCCCAGACAGTGACCCCACCCAACCGCAGAGCAGTCTCTAGTCACCAAACTGCAGGATACAGCTGGAGGACCCTTCCGACCAGAGAGCCCAGCCAGCAACCTTGCTCAACAGCAGAGCATAGCCAGTGTCCTACCTGATCAGGAATCCAAACCTGCAGACCTGCCCAACTTCGGGGCACAGTCTGTGTGTCCACCTGATCGCAGATCACAGCCTGAGGCCAGGTCTGACCACACAATCATGCCTCCAGCCCTGCCTGAACGAGTCCAGCCAGCAGCACCATCTGGTCAGGGAGCATAGCCTGAGACCCTGCCCAATCAGGAGCAATTGTTGAGCCCAGCCCATAGCCCTGCCCAATTACAGAGTACAACTAGTGCCACTGCCCTGCTAGTGAACACAGCCAGTGACCCTGCCTCACCAGAAGTAATTGCAGAGCCCAGCTAGTGGTTCCATGTGACCGTGGAGCACAGCCAGCAGCCCTGCTCGATCAGGGAGCCCCCCCAGCAGCCCTGCTTGAACATGAAGCCCAGCCAGCAGACTCTCCCAACCACAGAGCCCAGCCAGCAGTAACCCCCACCCCCAACCACAGAGCAAGGGCAGTGGCCCCACCCACTAGAGACCCTGACAGCAAGCCCCACCTGCCCATAGATGCTACTAGCTGACCTGCCCAGTAACCCAAGCTGAGCTTAATGGTGAAGGTCTTTCTCTGCTGAAGCAAACCTGTAAACTCTGGAAGAGGAGACCATTTACTTATATATGCAGATACCAATGCAAGGAATCAAGGCTCATGAAGAATCAGGTAAACATAACACAACCAAAGGAAAATAATAAAGCTCCAGTAACTGACCCAAAAGAAATAAATATCTATGAACTATGTGACCAGGAATTCAGAATAAACCTCTTAAAGAAGTTTTAATTTAAGTTCTTGTAAACTACAAGAACACACAGACAGAAAACTAAATGAGATTAGGAAAACAACGCATGAACAAAATGAGAAGTTCAACAAAGAAATAGAAACCATCAAAAAAAACCCAAAACAAATCCTAGAGCTGAAGAATACAATGACTGAACTTAAGAATTAAGCAGAGAGCTTCAACAATTAGCTTGACCAAACAGAAGAGAGAATTAGTGAACTGGAAGATAGGTTATTTGAAATTATTCCAGTCAGAGGAACAAAAGAAGAAAGAATGAAGAAAACCTACAGGACCTAAAGGACAATATCAAAAGAAACAATATATGCATTATGGGAATCCCAGAAGAAGCGAAAGAGAAAACAACAGAAAGTCTATTTAAAACAATAATGGTCTAGGGGGCCAGCCCGGTGGTGTAGCAGTTAAGTTCATGCACTCCGCTTCAGCGGCCCGGGGTTTGCAGGTTCGGATCCCAGGTGCAGACAAACACACCACTTGTCAAGCCATGCTGGGGCGGCATCCCATATAAAGTAGAGGAAGATGGGCACGGATGTTAGCCCAGGGCCAATCTTCCTCAGCAAAAAGAGGAGGACTGGCAATGGATGTTATCTCAGGGCTAATCTTCCTCACACACACAAAAAACAAAACAAAACAAGAATGGTCAAAAACTTAACCCGGGGAGAGAAATGGACATCCAGATTCTTGAGGACCAAAAGACCCTGAAATAGGTTGAACCCAAAAAGGGTTACACCAAGACACATTATAATTAAACTGTCAAAAGTCAAAGACAAAGAGAGAATTTTGAAAGCAGCAAGAGAAAAGCGACTCATCACATATAAAGGAGCTTCCATAAGGCTAAAGGCAGATTTCACAACAGAAACTTGACAGGCCAAGAGTGGGATGATATATTCAAAATACTGAAAGAGGGCCAGCCCGGTGGCATAGTGGTTAAATTCATGTGCTCCGTTTCAGCGCCTGGGGTTCTCAGGTTCGGATCCCAGGCGTGAACCTACACACTATTCATTAAGCCATGCTACGGCAGTGTCCCATATACGAAACAGAGGAAGACAGGCACAGATGTTAGTTCAGTGACAATCTTCCTTAAGCAAAAAGAGGAAGATTGGCAACAGATGTTAGCTCAGGGCCAATCGTCCTCACAAAAAAAAAAAAAAAAAGGAAAAAAATGACTGTCAACCAAGAATACTATACCCAGCAAACTGTCTTTCAGAAATGAAGGAGAGATAAAGACTTTCCCAAACAAACAAAAGATGAGGGTGTTCATTGCCACTAGACTTGCCTTACAAGAAAGCTAACAGGCCTTCTTCAAGCTGAAATAAAAGGATACTCATTAGCATCATAAAAACACACGAACGTGTAAAACTCACTGATAACAGTAAATATATAGTCAAAGTCAGATTATCTATTATTGCAATGGTGGTGCTTAATTCACTTACAACTCTACTTTAAAAGTTAAAAAACAAACGTATTAAAAATAACCATAACTATAATAATTTGTTATTGGATACACAATATAAAAAAGATGTAAACTGTAACGTCAATAACCTAAAATGTGAGGGGGGAGTATAAATTTCTGTATGCTATCAAAGTTAAGTTGTGATCATTTTAAATAGGATGTTATAAATATAAAATATTTATGTAAGCCTCAGGGTAACCGCAAATGAAAAGCCTGTACTAGATACACAAAAGATTACGATAAAGGGATACCACAACAAGGGATGAATCACGAAGGAAGATGGCAAAAGAGAAAGCAAGAAACACAGGACCTACAAAACAGTCAGAAAACAATTAACAAAATGGCAATAGTAAGTCCTTATCTATCAATAATTACTTTAAACATAAATGGATTAAGTTCTCCAATCAAAAGACAGAGAATGGCTGAATGGATTAAAAAACAACAACAACAACAAGATCCAACAATATGCTGCCTATAAGAGACTCACTTTAGCTTTAAGGACACACATAAACCTGAGAGAGACGGGATGGAAAAAGATATTGCAAACAAATGGTAACCAAAAGAAAGCAGAAGTAGCTATACTTGTATTAGACAAAATAGACTTTAAGCTAAAAATGGTCAAAAGAAACAAAGGTCATTATATAATGCTAAAGGGATCAATTCATCAAGCAGATATAACAATTGTAAATATTTGTGCACCCAACATCAGAGCACCTAAATATATAAAGCAAATACTAACAGAACTAAAAGGAAAAGTAGGGCCGGCCCCGTGGCTTAGCGGTTAAGTGCTCGCGCTCCGCTGCTGGCGGCCCGGGTTCGGATCCCGAGCGTGCACTGACGAACCGCTTCTCCGACCATGATGAGGCTGCGTCCCACATACAGCAACTAGAAGGATGTGCAACTATGACATACAACTATCTACTGGGGCTTTGGGAAAAAAAATAAATAAATAAATAAAATTATAAAAAAATAAAAATAAAAAAAAAATAAAAGGA